ACCAGGACCAGAGGGTTCTGGGTTGGAGTCCCGGGGGAACCAGGACCTTTCTGGGTGGAGTCTGCATGTTCTCCTGTGTCTGTGGGTTCTCTCCGGGTTCTCCGGCTTCCTCCCACCGTCCAAAAACCTGCATGTTAGGTTGGCTGGACTCCAAACTGCCCTTAGTGTGAGTGTTTGTGGTTGTTGGTCCTTGTGTGTCTCTGTGTGTCCCTGTGATGGACAGGAGGACCGTCCAGGGTGACCCCGCCTCTCCCCACTGGGACCCCAATAGGGAATAGGCTGTTACAATAATGGATAGATGATGAGTTTGCCGTAATCGAGCTCCTGGCCATTGCATGAGGAATCCCTTTCTGGTTGTTACCTTTTTTTATCCGTTTACTCCAGAATGCCCATCTTACAGTTTTTGATCGGACACCGTTTTATCCGGTGTAGCTCCACAGCTGTGAGTGTGGCTAAACATCTGGCAGGAACCACAGGAAAGCAGCGGATTTGAGATGCTGCCGTTGAGCAGCCCGATTCAATCCAGATCCAGCTGTGCCCGGAGCAGCCCAATTCAAGCCGAATCCAGCTGTGCCTGATTTGCTGACCCCTGCTTGTCTTCTCCCGCCCGCTCAGGTCCGGTGCCCCCGAATGCCACGGTGGTCTTCGAGGTGGAGGTGCTCTCCGTGTCCACGGGGCCTCGCACCATGGAGGCCTTCGGGCGGATGGACCTGGATAAGGACCGAAGTCTCACCAAGCCCGAGGTCATTCCCCTTTTCCAGGCTGAGAACCATCACACACATGCAAAGTAGCGAGAAAAGACACGTTTAATTTAATTGAACCGGAAAAAGTCAGAGGGAAATTTGTATTCGGACAAAAAAAGCAACATTTATTTTCCTGATTGTCTTTAATTTGGCGTCCCCTTGCTCTCCTTAACCAGACCGAGGCAATGGATCTACTGCTCCAACCAATTTTCTGCCTGGAGGGAGTAAAGGGTCCTAAATGCTTTTTTTCAGGTTTTAAAGACCTATGGCGTAAATTTAATGGACCAAATCGATATAGGTTGAAGGGGCTAGATTAACTTGATGAATAAAATAGTCTTTCTTATTCAACTAGTGTTGCCACTTAAGTGGAGATCCTTGAATTTTTTAAAACAGCCCAAAAGCATAACATGAAAAAACAGAAAACACCTTTTTGGGTACATTCCCAAAACTTAAAAACGGCTTTGTCCAATTGTAAAGGTAAGAAGTGTTGATCCGAGGACTGAGACCAGTTTATATTTAAAAACGTGTTCTGATTCGGCCTGTTTTTACCACCTCTATGTATTCATTTTAAGCCTTATTACCCACTTAGTTTCACTTACATTTATATGGTAATTTTGGCCAACTTTTTAAAACATTTTTTAATATAAATAACAGTATAACAGCCAAATGTAACAATAAAAAGTTGACTTTATAAGGACATGTAATTATGCTGGGATCCAGGTACGAAAGTATAAGGACCTGGCATGTGATTAATTTTTTTCTGCTCATTTCCAGGTTAAAGAATACTTGAAACTGGAGTATGAAAAAGGAGGGAAGCCCCGCGACGACCCCTTCTACGAGAAGATGATCGACGACATTTTCCGCAAGAACGACCACGACAGAGACGGGCAGATCAGTCCAAAGGAGTACAACATCTTTCAACATGATGAACTTTAACCTCGCGGGAAGCTAAAGCTGTTTCTCGGTAGTTTACCTAGTTTCACATAAAGGTAAAATAAAAAGAAAGAATGAAACCAGAGGGAATTTTCCCAACACAGAGACTCTTCTGCTGTCGGCTATTTGTTGTTGTGTGATTTTAATAAGTCAGACCACTTCTTGTTCACATGTCTTACCACTTCTTTATTTAGTTCTGTTCTCCAGATGATCACTCCATCCAAGTCTGGAATTTGTTTTCGATCTGTGGAAGCTACCAAATGAGTAATCCCCCTCTGCTTTGGTCATTGTTACTGGTTCATTTCTTTGTAAATGCTTCGTTTTACTGGTGCAAAGGGAATTCTGTTGTGTGTATCTGTGGGTGAACATTAGAAGAACTTTAGTTTAGTTTGTGTTTTTCTTTCATTGTTTCGTTTTAGAGGACACAATGTGTTGGAATCTGTGGCTGCCAAACTGGAACTTTGCTGTCTGAATGTGGGAAAGCGGTTTGGAATAAGCATAAACACCAAAGTCAGCCTTTCCTACTTTCTCCTTAATTCTTCTGCCCCGTAGCAGTCATCGTCATTTTAAAAACACATCTAAAGATTGTAGAAATCTAATCTGAAATGTTTTGATGTAACCAATCATTAACAATTCAACACACACACACTTTGGATTGAGGGGTCATCAAACCTGGATCTCGGTCACCTCTGATGGAATTTGTCTTTTTTTTTCAAATAAACCGTTTTTTATATGTGACCATCAGGCTGAGGAGGCGTTCTTTAGAACTGATATTCGTAGCAGGTTTTGAAACCTCAGATTAAAAAAAACATCTGAAATCCTACACTGTATAAATATTTGACCAAAAGGAGAAAACCCAGACAGACTCAGAACACTCCACAGATTGACCATTTCTTTGGCCGCCTATTCAAAGTATAAATTATTGGATATTTAGGTTTGTTCTGGGGCAACTTTTTAATTTCCATATGCAGTGAACCAGAATAAATTTGAACTTTAAGAGGGCAGACTTTATTTTTCCTGACTGACCGGCATCTGTTTAACAGGGGTCGGACAACCATTTTGGAATTGCTTTAGAAGCAGAAAATTGTTTAAAATAGGTGATAAATACTAACCATTTATTGTCGAGGCCAGTCTATTGAGGGACAGAAATCAGTAACTGTAAAAAAACTGTTAAAAAAATTAAAATAAGAGCATTTATTAATAAATAGCAGGAATATTTGACTTTGTCCACTTTCACCCTCAGTTGGGGATCTTGATCCTGACTGGTGGCAGCTTGATGGCTGCAGCCCTCACAGCAGCAGAGATGTCGACACCCAGCGGTGCCCTGCAACACAACACAACACAGCACAACACAACACAACACAACACAACACAACACAATGGGCGTTAGCCAGTTAACCTGCTCCTCAAACAGATAGACGGGAATGACATCTAAAAATGACACATCTGAGGTTTTTAGTGGCATCGTGTCCTCAAACGTGCACTCACTTGGGCTCATAGGAGACATCCACATCTGGGGAGAGTATCCCTTTTCCCTCCCGCAAACGCTCCACGCCATTCCTGACAGCGACAGTCACACACAAACCAAATGAGCTGTTCAAATCCCTCTATTGATCACACCTGAAGACGCACACACCTAAAGATCTGCTCCTCAACTCTGGAAAACACTTGATATTAGCATTGTTTTTGTAAATTCGTGCCCAAAATGTACTTGATTCTCATGTATCCTTGTATAAAAGCTTGGATAAAAGCTTAAAAGTGAACGCAAACGTCCCGACTGGCCGCACACCCACCATGCGATCATCACCCCGTTGTCGGTGCAGAGTTTGGGGGGGGGGCAGAGCAGCTGGAGTCCCGTCGCCTCGGTGATGATGGTCAGAGCCTTGCGGATGTACTGGTTGCTTGCAACTCCTCCAGACAACACCTGGAAAAGAAATACTGGTAAAATCCACACATCCGTATACGAAATGATCCAACTTAAAGGGAAGAACTGTTAGAATAGTGCAGTGCAAATATTCCCAGCACTAACTTAATGCCTCAGAATCTGTTTTTGCCACAAAATGAGATGGAAAGTTAAACATTTGGTCACTGGTTCTTTACAGAATTCCACCTGAAGCCCCTTTGAGGCTTCCTCAAAAGCATCTTTGCTAGCAAATTTGCATTAAGGCTTCAAAATGGATTTCAGATTTTCTGTATTTGTCACCATTAGCTTTGCTCCATCGTTTAGCAATTAAGGGGAAAACATCCAAAACCGGGTTTTCAGTTAGAAGCAGACCCATGGGAACATTTAGCAGGCTTCAAAAGGTTAAACTTTATTACAAATATTACGTTTAGCTGATCCTACTTTTGTGATAATGCTCAGAAAGGTGGTAAATATTTTACTTGGGAGGATTATGTCAGGAAACAAGGGTTTAATAACAGGTTTTAATGTGTGAATGCTTGTAGCTATCATTCCCATAATTTTGTACACCCAATGAAAATGCAATATTGTATAATTTCCCTAAATATATAAATGAAAAGGTACAAATATCTTAAATAAGGTTATTTTTGTCGACCTCGATGACTTCGATGACACATCGGAATGTTCCCAGAATTGAGAAGACTCGTTTTGGGGAATGAATCGGGAATGACAGAAACACAAGAAGTAGCCCCCTCACCAGAGCCGGACTGTTTTCCGGCAGCAGGCCCTGGGCTTTGCAGAACAGGATGGCCCGGTGCGTGCGCTTGGCGAGGTGAGAGGCCACCGAGTGCTGAGCTGCAGCTGCCATGTCCTCAACACACGACAGAACGGCTCCCGGCTCCACACCTGGAGGGGAAGGCTCACTGTCAGCTCCCATTACGGCTGGGATCGAGGAAAAACGTACCATTTCATACCTTCCTCTGCCTCCTTTTTCTTTATCGTCATTGTGATTTGATTCCGAAGTCCAGCAAATAAGAAGCAGCAGTCGTAGGTTTGGCCCATGGGCGTCCTGAAAGGGAACTTGGTCCTGTCTCCGCCTTTCGCCAGGAGCTCTATGGCTTGTCCTCCGCTCAGGGTGGAGCACCGGGGGTGTTTTATGAGGGACAGACGTCTGGCCACCTGTGAGGAGACAAAAACCGAAACCGGCCGGTCGTCAGCGGGACGAGACATCAGGGGCCACATCTGAGGTCCAGAGGCCTTACTTTATCCAGCGTGTCCCCGGGAGCCTCGTCCAACGTGTGACCCAGAAGCAGAAAGTCGTCCACGCCCCGAGCCACGGCCAGAAGGGAGTGACCACCGGAAATGAGCAGGACCAGGAAGGGGAAAGCGACGGGCCGGAGCATCCGGACGGTCAGAGCGTGGGCCTCCATGTGGTGGATGGGAATAAACGGCTTGTCGTTCCGCCGCACGAACCTCCGGCTGAAGTCCAGACCGATGGCCAGGCTCAAGGCCAGTCCTGGCTTCACCGTGGTGGCCACGGCCGAAAGCTGACCCGGGGTCACGCCGCTCCTCCCCAAAGCCTCCTGGACCACCCGCTCGATGTGTTCTCTGTGCAGCTGCTGCGCTACTGTGGGGATGATGCCTCCAGTCCTTGCAAGTGAAAAAATGAAGCAAAGTCTAGCACAGTGTTTTTCAACCACTGTGCCTAGGCACACTAGTGTGCCGCGAGTGATGGTCAGGTGTGCCAGAGAAAATCATCCTATTTCACCTAATTGATCTAAAAAGATTTTTTGATAAGGAATTAATTATCTGCAAATAATTTTTGAGTGTCTGTGCTGTACTAGTGACTGGTGGCGTAATCATGTAATAATTCATTATGACTAGATTTTGTATATAATTTTGCATATTGAAGTGGACATGTTAAGTGCAATATGATATAAAGTGTGTTTATTTAATTCCTATTAAAGACACTTAAGATAAGATAGAATAAGAATAACTATAGTGTTACTATAAGTTACTACAGATTTGTTTAACATTTTTGGTTGGTGGTGTGCCTCGAGATTTTTTTCAATGAAAAAATGTACCTTGGTTCTAAAAAGGTTGAAAAACACTGACAACACCAAGGGCCTGCTTCTGAATCCAGCTCACCTGAGATGGACCTCTTTCTGGGAATGCAAAGACTCCCCCAGTATGGCCCCCGTCTCGTCCAGCACGGCAGCTCCAGTGTCGTCACAGCTTGTCTCAATGCCTAAAACGAGTCTAGAGCTGGAGGCCTTTCTAGACTTTAGAGTGGAACCAAACGTGTGTTTACACCGCAGGAGTCTCTGTAACGCCTTTGCTTGCGTGTAGAACATGCTTATATCGGAAACTTCCACCTCTTGGTTGAAAAGTTGTATGAAAAATTTTGTGTAATATCAGTTTGACCCCAGATACATAAATTAAAATAGATTTAAGAGAGATGTTAGCGTGACGGAGAACAAAAAAGCACCTGAAGTTGACAGGGGGCAAGGACTTTCTGTGTGTTTCTCCATTTTTCATCTGAGAGTGTCACATTTAAATGTATCCGTTGACGGTAAATGTTTTGTAAATGTCATGTGCAAGTTAAATGCTTAAATAAAATGCTTGGATATAAGAAAATATGGCTAATTTCATTTCTGTATAATGCATAGCTTTACAAAAAAAAAATAACCGGAGAATTCATTCGAAAAGTGGCACATGGATCTATAATAAAATATCTATCGTTTCAGTACGAGCATGTTAGTGTGTGACACCAGCATGGAAGAAAGTGGATTTGCTGTCTAAATAAACGTCGTTTTCACCGAAAAAGTCTTAAAAAAGAGGTAAATGAACCATCTTTCATTGTTTCCACTTAGTGTATATATTTTTATTTTTTTCACCTTTTGGTCTTGAATCGGTGGTGTTTGTTGTACGTTAAAAGAAAGGATCCTCTTCCGTGTGGTAGACTGCTGCCCTCGTCAGTCTCATCCATGTAGCTCTGAAAGCGCCATGTAGTTCCCCTGCCTGGAACGTTTACTAGAGACTGGCATGTTGCTTTTCAATTCAAATAAGCAAACCAGTGGTCATTTCGTGGGTATAGTGTGAACTTGCTGTAGTCTGTACTGAAGAAGTTTTGATGAAAAAATGTCCTTCCGGTTGCGTTTAACTGTTGTACTTTTTAACTTGATATTAATAAAGATTTCATATGAATTTTCCTAAAGGAGGCATGGAACACCCCACTTGTATTTCGGAAGAATTGAAGCGGTTTGTCGTGAGGGATGCTCCCCAAACAGTGTATTACATCCCAGATTTTATATCAGAAGAGGAGGAGTGCTACCTTTTGCAGCAGGTTTATAAGTCTCCAAAAACTAAATGGACACAGCTTTCTGGCAGAAGGCTTCAGAACTGGGGAGGCTTACCGCATCCTAAAGGCATGCTGGCGGAAAACATCCCAGGCTGGCTTCAGACGTACTGTGAGAAAGTATCCCATCTTGGAGCCTTCGGTGGGAAAACGGCCAACCATGTCTTGGTGAACGAGTACAAACAGGGCGAGGGGATAATGCCCCACGAGGACGGCCCTCTGTACCACCCCACGGTCACCACGGTCAGCCTGGGCTCTCACACGCTGCTGGACTTCTACAGGCCTCTGGACAGCTCTGAGGAGGAGGAGGAGGAGGGGGCGCTGCAGACGGAGGCCAGCCGCCACCTGTTCTCCATCCTGGTCAGGCCGCGGAGCCTCCTGGTCCTGCAGGACGACGTGTACACGCGCCTCCTGCACGGCATCCAGGCCAGCGCCCGGGACACGCTGACCGAAAGGGTGGTCAACCTGCCCGCCGACCAGGCCCGGCCGGGGGAGACGCTGACCCGGGGCACCAGAGTGTCGCTCACAATAAGATACGTCCCCAAAGTTATGAAGACCAAGCTGGTGCTGGGGAGGAAGTGAGGGCTGACCACACCGGTGGGACGAGCCGGAGGGCTGGACCAGAGGGGCCAACTGACTCTAAATATCAGAAATATCCTTTAGCTTTTGAATATTTCTGTTCCCTAATATGATACAATTGGAGCAAATGGCTCACCTGGTTATCAAATGCAGTATGTATGTGGTTGTAATCTAAACTGGTGGAAAAGGTTTATTAAATAAGGTTGAGCACTTTTTATGTATTGCTAAGTTTGGAAAGTTAATGAATGATATGCATCAGTTCTTGATTTGAGTATTTACAGTATAAACTGTATTACAGAGTCCGATCTGAATTTCTTTAATGCGCCAAAAATGTACTTAGAATCATCCAGAAATGATCTAGCATAGCTGGTGTTGCTTTAATAAGCTGATCTGTGATCAATAAAACAAAGTCTAAGAAAAACAAGCTGTTGAGAGGAAATGTGTCGCTCTGAATCAGTTTTTTTGCTCTGTTAACTTTAAGTGTGTCCAGTTTATTAAGCTGAAATTAGAAAATGGTGGTCGTGTTAACAGAAGAGAATAATTTCAGGCCCAAAGTCTGTTAAGGTTATAAAGAGATAAAGCTGAATGATGCTTCACCCAAAAAAAAAAAGTGTGTAAATCATTAAAGTCTTTGTTTTTTGTGCTTTTTAGATAAAAGTAAGTAAGTATACGAGTGAAAATACGTAAAGGTCTCTTGTTTGAAAGCTGTCACTTCATATAGATCTCTGTCCAAACCGACTGCGAGGTTTTCTCATCATGTGCTGAAATGTGATGGCAGGAAGAAGGGAAAAACGATGGAGCCGGAGCCGAAGCGCCGGAAGTCCTGTGCGTGGGCAGTGGACTCCTGGGTGGCCCGTCCAGTGCTGTCGGACGCGCAGTCGCAGGAGGTGGAGCTGCTGGAGGCCTTCGCGGCGCCCATCACCGACAAGAGACAGACGTCCAGACTCGTGAAAGAGCTGAGCGGCCTCTACCCGCTGACCGGCCTTCCGCACCTCAAGAGGGTGCGGGCCAGCGGGGGGGCGGCCGGCGCTCACGCCCTGGAGGTCCTGCTGTGTCTGGTCAGTGAGGCGGGGGACGGAGACTCCCCGCTGCCCTCTGATGGAGCCAGGTGGGAAGGGCTGGGGGAGCCCTTTGTGGTCAGCGTCCCCGCGCGCCCCCCGCTGACCCGCCCCCAGTTCGAGCTGGCCAGCCGCTGCTGGCCCACGTCCTTCCACGAGGACAAACGGATCACGGTGGCCTTGAGGGGAGAGCTGTTCAGCCCCGGTCAGAGAGCCAGGATGCAGGCGTACATGGCGTCCGCCCTGGAGGCGGCTCAGGCCGCGGGGGGGCTGGGGATGGAGGCCGTGGGGGCCGTGGTGGTGGACCCCGAGGAGGAGAGGGTCATCGCGGTGGGCCACGACTGCAGAGGCCAGCACCCGCTGCTCCACGCCGTCATGGTGTGCGTGGACCTGGTGGCCCGGGGCCAGGGCGGGGGGTTCTACAGCTTTGACCGCTACGCGGCGTGCCGCTTCACTCCCGTCCCGGGGACCTTTGACCCCGCGTCCGGCCCCAAAAGCAGCGGCCAGCCCTACTTATGCACGGGCTACGACCTGTACGTGACCAGGGAGCCCTGCCTCATGTGCGCCATGGCGCTGGTGCACTCCCGCATCGGGCGCGTTTTCTACGGGGCCGCCGCCGCCGACGGGGCGCTGGGCACCGAGCTGAAAATCCACACGCAGAAAGACCTAAATCATCGCTTTCAGGTGTACAGCGGGGTGCTGAGTAAGCAGTGTGAGGATCTTAACCGCGCGGACCACCTGATCAGAACTGACAAGGAAGAGGGGGAGAAATGTTGACCGATATCAAACTATGGGAAAAACAACTGGACATATCCGATAACTTCTTATTTTGAATAAAGTTTTTAAGACCGTGGATTCATGTTAAAAATGAGGATTTGTCACCTGGGATGAGATATTCAGCTTTAAACCACTCCGCTAAAAATCACACATACATCTGTTTGCGTTTTGTAAAACTTCTTTGAATCCCGTTTCAGTCCTCGGACAGTCCCAATCCTCAGATTTGCATTTTCATTTTTCATTTGAGCAACGAATCAGAAAAATCCAAAACTAAACAATTGCTTTTGCTAATCCAAAAACCAGTAATGAGATGGAATAAGATGCGAGGGCAAAAACGTATTTAATGGGATAAAAAAAAAAAAAAGAACACTATTAGCTGTGACAAACCGAAGCAGAACTGGCTGCTTTGATTATAGCGAAAGGTCACTTTAAGGGAGCAGCTACATAAAGCTGAATCACAAAACAACACCTCTGTCAGTAAACACTTATCCTCACAACACGTCCTATTCCTACACACATCCACAAAAACGACACCGAAACAAGCCCGTCTCCGTCTTTCTGATTGAAATACAAATGACCAATAAATTCACATATCAAGGAAATCACGCACGTTAAGAATACGATTCTATTCTTCACACAGCTTAGCTTTTTGACACCCATTTGAAAATGAGTACCAATAAAGATTGAGCCACAGGCTCCTACCTTTAGAAAGTAAACATCTTTCACTGGAACATCCGTGTGACTACAATACTTCGAGGTTATGCCGATGTGTGAACAGAGGGCAAAAAGGAAGGAAAACAAATTAAACCAAAAGCTTCACTGATGCCTAGGCCAGCCCAGGTCCAAGCAGGTCAAAAACACATAATTAAATACTTAAGTTAGCTAATGCATATGGCATGCTGTCTTCTATAAACTCCTATTTATAATACACACGTACGTATGTAGAAAGTGTGTGTGTATGAAACGGTGGCCCTCACACAGACTGTGTGAACTGGTACACACTACCCGGGAATTAGCTCCTACTGCCCAGAGGCAGAGCATTTACAATAAATTAATACTTGTTGATGCCAAAAATCCTCACTCCGTGCAGCTGTGGCAGTTTGGGGATCAGGACGCTCAAAAGTGAGGCAGTGTTGATAACAAAGTGCGTTGTGTCATATTTGGTGTAGAAACTTGCCAGGAAGTATCTGTAAAAAACAAAACAAAAAAATACATTAAAAAGAGGTCAACTGAAAAAAAACACATTTAAATCAAAGAAACTGGTGGAAAAACTGGTGGAAAAACCAGTCATTATTATTCGTTATTTGCACAGGAGCTCCTCATACATACAGAATAATTGGGGAAATGGTGAAGAACTTTCTAGATGAGGTGAACTGCACGCCATAGTCGAGCTGCTCCCAGTGAGTGAGGAGTCTGGCCTTTCCCTGGTCCGGCGTCTCAAACGGGGTACCTTTCACTGCATGCATGAAGACGTACATTCCCTGCCAGGCCAAGAGAAGAACCGTCAACACCATGCTGATTTAAAGACGCAAACAATAAAACTATATCAGCAGCCTCAGCAAGTTGAAAAGCTGTTGGATTTTCCTCTTCATTTTTGGTTTTTACATAATAAACAAAGTTGACAAAATAAAAAAGTTATACAGGTGGGCGTTAAAGGCCATTTAGGTTTGACTAACTGACATTGGTATGCTCATAATACATTTATTTATGGTCTGTGTGTTGTATTTATCATAGTCTATGTTTAGACTTTGCTCAAAAACTTAAATTCTGAGATTAAAACCCTCCCAATCTGAGTTGCTACATGACCTAAAAAAAGGAAATAGATCAAACCAAGTATAAACCATTAAGCCATTATTAATATTAACAATATTGATAAGAGGCCTTTGTTTAAACTATGTCCTTATTACACCTCAAACTGGCCGTGTTGTAAAAGACTAATGGTCCATTAGTGTATCGGCCCAACATTGTAACTCGATGGAAATTCTGCATGGCCAAAGAGAGAGGGGATATAACTAAAACAATGCCATAGAGCCAAGGTATGATCAGCCCACCACTGCTGTATTGTGGTACGAAACAATAGGCTATAGTTGACCTTGGCTATTTCTGTTAATAGCCTTCTGTATCGGCTGTGCACAATCCAAGTAAACCGCTTTACACGAGCGAGTGATGTCATCCACATCTAACTTGGGTCCTTTTTTTTTTAGAGGAACCACGCGACAATGAAAGGTTGGTGTTCTGCCCAGACTTCACATGTGGAGAAATGAGAAATGTCCGCACACAGGGGAGCCATAAGGACAGTTTGCAAAAAACAGATCATATCTCTAAACGCTCACACATGAGAGAGATACACTTACTAAGTTGTGTATGACGTTGGTTAGGGTCCACACCACGGGCACGCTGAAGAAGGGGATGCTCAGAAGCACAACATGGAGTATACAAACTCCTAGCGCATAGGTCAGCCAAATCCCTCGACTGTTCATCACTCGAGTGTTTGGGTTCACCTCGCTGTGTGCCACACCCACATTCATCCTGGTCTGCGGACAGAAAAAGACATTTACAGTGTCACAACATATCCGTTTAGTGCCCATCAATCCATTCTGATCTTCTTATTCCTGGTAGGGTAACAGGGGAGAGGGAGCATATCCCCATTGTCAGTGGGGGAGAGGCATATTTTTTTGCCTAGAGTTTCCACTGGAGCTACAGAGTTAATTCTAAAGGCACTTAATAGCAATCCCAAATAAGATGCTGAATATTCAGTCATTAGATCCTTTGTTTTTACAGCAAATGTGTAGCCATGCAATTTAACACATGGCATAGTTGGAGTGTAAAAATCTAGCTGTCGTCAAAAGTCCAGATGAAGAACCTCTTTCTCTTGCAGTCCAAATGTGATAAGAAAGAAAAAAAAAAACCTGGTGCAATCTCGCTGAACTTTGTCCTCTGGCACACTTTCAACTGCCAAAATGGATTAAAGACAAAGGCCAAACGTTTGTGTTGCAGTCCTCCAAAAGTGAACAGTACAAAGTGACTTTAGGCTGTAATTCTGTCAATTTACCCATTTAAGTTACATTATCTAATGCATAGTAGCAAGTGAAAAACACACACACATCTATATATATAAAAATCTCTCCTTATACGGCTACCATTCTCTTATTACTGAACTTGTATATTTGACAACCTTCTAAACTTAACTTGATTGTGTTTATTTTCCCATTTAAGATGGATTATCTAATGCATAACTGCAAGTGAGAATTGCAAGTACATAGATATACAGACATAAATATATATATACAGTATATGCCTATACGCCTAGCATTCTCTTATTATTGAGCTTGCATGTTTGACTACCTTGTACATTTAACTTGGTTCCAGTGCATAGTCGGGCCCAATTCGTAACTATTTAAAAACAAGTTGGTCAGCGTCGTTACGTAAAGAAGTCCCCAGAAGTAAATGTACGTCATTAAAGTGTGACATGAAACAGGCCAGGAACCATAATTCAAACTTACAGGTTGCAGCGAGCAGTGAAGTTAAATTCACAAACAAACTACTACGGAGAGAATTGGTTTATCCTCTTCTTGTCCTCAACTCCAAGGTGCAGACAGCTGAGCTCGGTGCAGTCTGGCTCTGGCGGAAGTTGACGTGGAGTGGAGTCTTTAAGTGTGTTGTCTTTAATCCTCCGTTTGACTTCTCAGGCTACACAGTGCCGTAAATGACTTACATAATGCAGATTTAAGTGCTTAAATTAGCACTTTATACGTTTAGAGTTAGCAGTAAATAAATATTGGTTGACTTTTAAGTGAAAATAGTGAAAGGTTTTCAACAAATCCTGCAGCAAATGTACCCGTTAGCTTAAACTCAGGACACATTTACCCATAGTATGCATTTGAGACCCGCCCTCGTGTAATTTCTAACCAATCACCGTTTGATATCGGGGGCGGGAATCAACCCGTTTCCGGCGTTTGGCTCGTGTTTGTTGTTTATGAGGATTAGAAAGCTACACCCTGGAAGAGTGGCCTGGATAGTGTATGGATTTGCTTTGTTTGCACAACTAACGAGTTTCAGATATTCTTTTTTAATATCGATGTAAACTAATGAGAACGAGACGCTCGTGTAAGCTGCACAGCTATTGGCGTGTATTTGTAAAGTCAACGTACTGTAGCCCTGTTCCAGCCTCTTAAACATGGTGTCATTATTTGGTTGTTGTAGTTTGTGTTACTGAAGTAAGACACATCTGCTGTTTCCTCTTACAATGACACCCCATTCTGTAACAATGCTGTAACGTGCTCAGTGTCGCGAGAGGGATTGCCATTTAAAATACTTAATAAAGATAGCTGGATGTCACGTTTTGCTATATAATCGTGTTAATTTGAAACTTCACCAAATCATTTCCATTGATATAGACGTCCTTAAATAATGACATAAAGTCATTATCAGTCACAGTTCTGCGGCTAGTTCTTTGTGGTTTATTGTGATGCATGTTAGCATAGAGGCTAATGTATGTAAACAGCTCATTTTAAAATCTCATAGCTGAAAACAGATTAGTTAGGAGGTTAGTTGTTTGTTTGTTTTTAACTTGCATATGTGTGCTGCAGAAGGTTTGCCTTCCATGTCATGGACTTATTTACTAATATAAGCCACTTTCGGTCATGAAAGCCTGATCCCCATCATGTTCATCTGTAGTTAACAATACACAATGGGACAATATTTGACTTTTTTTTTCTTTCAGCACACATCTGGAGTCATGAAGCAACTGCCAGTTGAAACTGTCCGGCTGCTCTCCAGCTCCCAGGTCATCACTTCTGTGGTGAATGTTGTCAAAGAGCTGACAGAAAATTCCTTGGACGCAGGCGCTTCAAGCATCGATATCAAACTGGTACAGTCCCTTGATGATGGCTTCTGGTGACTTTGTTTTTACCAAAATAAATCTTGTATTTGAAAGCACTAGTTTTTAATAGTTGGGAAAATACGTAATGTAGCTCAACAAAGTCTATTTAAATCTATAAACCTCAACAAAGATGTGATTCTAAGCTGCTGTTGCATTTTCTGTCAAATTCATGCATTGATTTACTCTTTGAAGGAGAACTTTGGCTTGGACCGGATCGAAGTGCGGGACAATGGCCATGGAATCAAAGCTGCGGATACTCCCGTGATGGCCGTGAGGCATTTCACCTCCAAGATCTGCAGCCACGAAGATCTGGAGCATTTGGAAACCTACGGCTTCAGGGGGGAGGCAATGGGCTCCATCTGTGCCGTGGCAGAGGTGAAAACTGTTTTGATCATTCTATGATGGAGGGGGGGGGGGGGCAATGAAGCAGAGTTAAGACATGTCAGTGGCAAAAGCTCAGATTTATTTATGATGGCAGGCTTATTAATTTCTGATAGATTAGACTCTATTTAGATATAGTCCTTTTTGCGTACGATATACAAAACTGGGTCAATTGACTCCTCGCTTTGGTTGTTTCCCTTCAGGTTTCTGTAACAACAAAGACAGAAGAAGACGACATCAGCACCCAGTACATGCTCGACTTTACGGGGAAAATACTTTCTCAGAAGCCATCTCACCTGGGTCAAGGCAAGACACTGACATTTTATTAGAGATGTAATCAATAACCTGAGCAAGAGATAGATTTTTTAACCTGATTTTTTCTCTTGAAATGAAAGATATTCTGTTTTAAATGTGCTAAAGAGTTACTCTGTCACTGTAAGATTTCCAGCTGTTTTTAACAGGTAGCACAGACAATAATCTACACTTTGCAATAGTTTATTGGTATGTCATTGGATTCTAGGCAACATGGTTTTGTGGGGGTTAGCCCCGTTTCCGTTAAATTACCCCTGGGAGTGACTGTGTGTGTCACGGCCTTTTTATTTATTTCCAAACCAAATTCTTCCAACAAAGAAAAGGCCGTCGGTGGAAACAGGTGATTTATGTTCTTGACGCACTTTCCTTTTATTTCTTGTCAAATTATAGGGGGAAAAAAAAAAAAAAAAAATTATAGGGAAATAATAACCAAAAATTCATTAGAACTGTAATGCAAATTAAAGTAAAAAAGGTGGTTGAAGATGGATGGATGGCACTGGATTGTGCAGTTTTTGCTGTGATACAAATGTAACAATTTACATTTTTTACATTGTTACAAACAGATGTAAAGAACTGCAGGCTTAAAAGTGGAAAATAAAAAAGTTGTCCCTTATTGAAAAGTACAAAGACCCCTAAATGCTTGTAAAAAGAGATTAAAAAAGGTGCAGATATGATGGGAGGTTGCGAATACAATCCTAGAGAAAACACACATTCACCAGGTTGTAGCTATATGATGTACAGAAAGGGAAGGTCAGCCGGTTTGCTGGAAAAGCGTACTTTTCCAAAAATAAATCATCCACCGTTTCATTTCCTTTAGGTACATCTGTGAGTGTAATGAAACTTTTCAAGAATCTTCCTGTGAGAAGGCAGTACTACTCCTCCACAAAGAGGTGCAAAGAGGAACTAAAGAAAGTGCAGGACCTGCTCATGGCCTTCGCCATCGTAAAACCTGAGCTGAGACTCGTGCTGGTTCATAACAAGGTCTGTAAATTCACTTCAGTGTTCAATTTACTGTGTTCAAAAGCCACTTTTCTTCAAGAAAACTGAATTTTGCAGTGGGTTTTCTTATTTGTAAAACAGTGTGAATTATAATCACTTTTTAATATTATTTGCATCACTCTCTTCCGTGTAAACTGAGAGCACACTGATGTTGCAGCTTTATTTTATTCAAGATAAATAAGACTACAGTATTTATTTTTATAAAGAAAAAATACAACTTTCTTTTTTCACAGTGCAACCTTGCAACCACTGAAAACCGTTACAGTAAAAACAGGGTTGGCTCTTCTGTTTATATTATTTATATAATTTACTGTTATTATTAACATTATTATTTTTGCCCTTTTAAAAAAAAAAGGCAGTTGGAAGTCTGCCTTTAATCACACAGCTACTATTTAACAAAACCCAGGACATTCCAAAGATTTGATGGTAACTTTTCAAGCAAAAGAAAAGAAATAGCCAACTGTTACCTACATTCCGCTTTATTTAAGACCAGGGTTGTACAACGTGCATTGTAAACTGAAACCACTAGATGTCCTCATTGATTTTCAGATGAATCCTTTTGTAGATGAGTCTCTTAATGTAAAGAGCAAACATGTAAAATTAGATTTCAAAATGTCAAGATGTTACAAAAGCAGATTCAGCAAAATAACACAGAACAACAAAAATCTAAGCCTTTAAGGGTCTGCAAAGTTTATCCAATTTCCAATTAACTGCACTGGTTTCACAGTTTTAAAAAGCTGTTTTTCTGTTTGGCAGCTAATTCAACATAAAAGTAAGTTAAACATGTAAGTTAACGCCTAAAGCTTGTACCCACTGACAGTTAGTTACTAATTGGATAAAAGATATATAACCAAAAAATGAAAAGGCATGACATAGGAATGCATTTTCACCCTGTATCTACATATGTCTAGTAAAAAAATATCCAACTTCAAATTGCATTACTGAATAAAACGTTTATTAAGTAAATACAGGACAGAGTGACAAACCCAGGACCATGTGCTGGATTTGATATAGTTACCACCTTTTAGAATAAACTTTAACTTACTTAAGAATTTACTACTTGGGTACAAAAATCTGTTATTGACATTTAAAATGGTATAAACCATGTTGTGCTTTATGAGTGTGGAGGTGCAAATGAAAAGTGCTAAATAAGTCTATTCCATTGCTGATGACTTTTTAACGTACAGTATCTTAAATGTGGACACGCAGTCTGTATTTGTCAGCATGGAGAGAACTCTGAAACGTTTGTAGCGACTTTCAGACAGTGTAAAGAGCGGCCGTTCTTTGTAAATCTGTGTGTCTAAATGACAAAAAGAGCGTGTCATGAACAATTCATTTATATTGCTACCTGGTCCAGGCTCCATTAGGAGAAAAAAACAAACAAAAAAAAACAATGGAAAAAATCAGTAAGTTTCTCTGAGCGGTGCAAATGACCAAACTATTCTGTTAGCAAATGGAAACAAATAACTACTTGATTGTTGGGTGACGTCTTTGACAACAGAAGCTTTCCTAAACAGAGCCAGCATGCATACCAAAGCAGTGTATCATATGCCACTCTTTTTCACTTTGGGAACCTAACGTCAGTGGTTATTAACATCCATTAATTATCAGCAGAATTACAGCTGCATTCAAAATACATCGGGCATTTCCCAGATGTTACCAAAACACGTTCAACAAACAGGTATATAGGGAAGAGTAGTAGTCCTAAATCAGGACGATCATGCAGAGACCCATTCTCAGCAAATTCAAGTTAACATCAAAACGTTTTTTGTTAACAGATGTGGACCGACTCTTTGTCGGTCCAAATTAGCTGGTTTGTGACCAGGAAACGACAAAGGGTCGGTCCACATCTGGTCATCCATGAGTGAGACATCTGCATGAAGAGGCTCTCGCTGTGAGTCGAACAGGCCGTACTTAAGCTGTGAACACAAGTCGATCAGGTGGCAGCAGACTGCTTCCACGAGCCGGTCACTCTAACAGGGACAGAGTTAACCGGCTGATGTCGACCCAGAGGAGCTGATCTTCAAATGCTGAAAACGACTCGGAAGGCAGATAGGCCCAAAACACACAACGGCAGGCGGAGATCGAATAGCATAGGTTTTGTTTTTCACATGAATGGATGGTCTCAACTTAAAAAATAAAAAAATGTAAAGAATCAGTCATTTGAATTGGAAGGATAAGGAATCCCTACCATGTAAAAAATCATTTTAAACTGTAATAAGTTGTATCAAATGCTGGCCTTGATGGCAGATTGATACTACCAATGTTACAATTACTTCTATGATATAATAGGAGGTGATAATGGTTTTTAAAAGCTGCGTTAAAAGCTGTTGTCAGGGCAAGTAAAACCTAAAGACAGGCCTCGTTTGGTCAGTTCAGAGGAATGAAAACTGTTCTGATGGGCCCTGGAATCCTTTCCTGTTGCCTTTTTTAGTTGCATTTCGTATCGGCGCATCCTTTCAAACAAACACACGTTCACACAAAGATGTCCTGTAAACATTTTGGCTCTCTCTGCCTATTTTTGCGCCTCAGTGTGCAGGCGGTGCAGCGCACGAGGCAGGCACACAACGCCATGGCTTCACTTAAAAAAGAAAAAAGCTGTTTGGATTGTCAGGGGAGAAGAGAAAGACCAAAGCATCCTGCAACTAGGGAGATAAGATTTTTATTTATTATATTATTATTAGTAGTATTTTTTTTATCGTGGGTTTTTGTTTTTCACATGAATTCCATCATGGATTGTCTCAACTTTTTAAAAAAACATTTAGAGATAAATCCACCTTCTTGGAGAGCAATTTAAATCGCTTGTTTTTTCTTATGGTAGCTCTTGTAAAAATAATCCAAGATACCAAACCTTTTTAATCTCCCATAATTGTGCGAACAGGAGGTTTGGAGTGTGGATATGGTGGCAGTGTGCTGATAGAGTGTAGACTGGTGACAGGTTTTATCTCCCTCCAGGTGGTGGTCTGGCAGAAGGCCAGGGCTGTGGACAGCAGAAGTGCCCTCCTGGCCACGCTGGGACCCGGTGCCGTTGCTAACTTGTTCCCAGTTCACCAGCACCGAGAGCAACCAGAGGTGAGTGGAGGGAAAAGAAATCCAATCCAGTCGTTTCCACCATTTTGAAAGCACACACCAGCTCGCTTTTGTGGTCGTACGGGAAGAAAATATTTGAAGATACAAAGACAGAAGGAGCAGCCAATATTGTTTGATGGATCTGTGCCCATCTACCTCAACTCCCTCTTAAAGCCAGAGAGTGCCAGCTAACACGCCCCCTACAGGCCAATCTAGACTCATCTGTGGGTCCATGCTGGTGGTTACCCTACAAGCTCTATTAGAGCATCAGATTCTCTTTCCTCCTTCAAGAAATCCTTGAAGACTCAGCTCTTCCAGAGAATCTCTAGTCCTGAAAGCTCTAAATGAGCTGATTTCCTAAAAACTCAATGTATGAGACTTGTGTAGTCTATGTCTTGGTTGAATGTTAAATCCTTAATTTAAAAATCCTCTTCTAGCTTATTGCACTCAAGGTAAGTGTGTAACTAGTGTTGGAGCTGAATGTTAAACTCTCTTTTTGGAAGTCGCTTTGGATAAAAGCTAAATGCATAAATGCGAATGTAGCATTTCTGCCGTCAGCAGTCCATTTTCCTCCACCCGAAAAGATGACATTTTTTATAAAACTACGATGAAATTCCCTTAAGAACATAAAATAACAAGATGGAAACCATCAGAACATTGACTTCTACTTTTGAGAGTGTTGAAGTTGCAGGAGAGCATGTTTATAATCCCTTTTTCTTTTAAATTTCTGCACTTATGTCTTATATTTTACATTCAGTTGTTAAATATCAATCAACTGATTAAGCTATTCAAACACATGGTCACATAATTTTCTTAATGGATTGCATTTTTAAAATAGAAATGCAGATGCAATACAACATAAGGACAAACAAATTACACTCAAGCAGCCCTTTTTTTTCTTTTAAGACTGTATTCAATTGATCACAGTTAGTCACTGAAAGGCATTACAGTGAGTTTTTGATCAATTTGAATTCAGGATTGGAATCTTATGCATCTCATCGTGATGTGCAGGACTGGTGGTTCCAGGTTTTGGCTTTAATGGACATGGTCGATGACTCTTTTTGTTTTACTTGTTTGTTTTACTGACTTTGACGTGTGTTGAACTGTTTTGGGAATGTTCTAAAAGTCAGTTTTATATACAGTGGCGGATATCTGAGCCGTGACATGAAGTTAAACGGATAAATAAATGCATACGATTGAAAACGGTAGTGAATGATGATTTGTTTAGTTGTTTTACAGGCATTTCTAGTAAATGTAATGTCAGTAGAAAAAACAAAAACATTCTGACTTTGGCATAGCTTATATGAACATGCACAACATACTAGACTGTGAGCTAATAACTTCATCTTGAACATCTGATCTCAAGCCAGAAAATGTGGTCAGTAGTTGGCAAGCCAACAGTTTCTTTGCCCTTTTCTCCTGAGTTCCTTCCTGATGAAGAGTGAGTGATTTTTTCTTTCTGACGGTAATTGAATTACTGTGGAGCTGTAACTTTCTGCTTGGTCACTGTAGGTGTCATGTGGCTCCTACCTGCTGTCAGGCTCCCGACTAATCCAGGCCGACAGATATAGAGCAGCCCCTTTTCCCCCTTTCTTTCTCTCTCATTTTCCCCCTTTATTGTTGTTATTTTGCTGCTCGGCGCCCAGTTATGAGAGCGACCTTTCCCCTTTTCCTTTTGCCCCCGTCGTAATGAAAGGGAACGTTTTTTCTCTCCGCCGCGTCCCTGAGAACAAAGCGCAGCGATCCGGGGGGAAGCAGGCCGACAGCTCCAGCAGCAGCAGCCGCCGCCGCGCTAAAGGAGCTTTGCAGAGCAAAATGTGACACTCGCTTTTTGGCAGCGTGACTACACGTAACCAAAGACCTCTGGGGCCAGAGGTGCCATTCGTACTCTCATAAAGTGACCCTAATGAGCAGAAAAAGAGAGGAACATATGTGCCCTGACCTGAAACAGCGGCCCATTTATTAACTTCATTGGCGTGCATTGCTGCTAATAACGAGCCCGAGGCCAAATGGAAAAACGCATAGCTCTTCACCACTCGAAACATTAATAGCCTTCCATAATTTCTTACTAGCTAACATTTATAATGGAGTTTTAAGTGCACTTTGTTTTTTTTGTTGAGTCATCAGTTGTAGCCCGTGGAAATTTGGTAGATATTCCATGGTTGTAGGTGAAAGGTGATACACTATCACCTCTCCTGATGTAGATTTTGATGGAAAAATGTGGAGCATTTTCATGTGAAGCCTGCGAATTCTCGGATGTTTATGAGGTTATGATGATGTTTATATTAGTCTCTTTTATTGTCCAGTGTTAGGATTCTATTGGACAGACCCCTTTTCAGTTTTCCACATTTTGCCATGACTCAGAATTGTTTCGAAATGGATCAGCTCACTTTTCCCAATCAGTCTCCAGCATGACAAGGCCAAAACCAATCACCAGACTGTTTTAGAAATGGGACAGAAACAGGACCGAAATGTTCCGCTGACCTGGTTGAAGCACCTTTGGAAGCAATGAGAGTCCTGGGTCAACGGAACAGTGTTTGTACTCATTTGTCATGTCTTTCCTCTGGAAGTATCTTCCATTCTTCTTGCCAGAATGGTTTAAGCTAAACCGGTTGGTTAGGGAAGCACCTGTGCTCGGCTATTTTCAGGCCTCTCCACAGACTGGGTCCAGACTCTGGCTGCATGGCTTCTGGACGTGCGCAGATCTTCTCTGAACCCATCCTTTGTTTCCTTACTCAAAATCATCTTTTGTGAGGATAAAACAAGAAGCTGAAAATCTAAAAAAAAAAGATGAATTGTAGGTATTCTGTAGATAATTTGATGTGAGAAGTAAAGGCATTAGATCTGCCCAGTTTAAACTTTAGCACAATAACATGGAAATACCATCATAACATCTGTATATACTGTATGTATATATATTTGTATGTTTATATTATTGTAAAAGTAATTCACGGACAACCAATCATAGAAACTACAGAACATTTGATGTTTTAAACTATGGCTGCCTCTTCAATTGTGCCCTCAGTGCTCAAGTTATATAATCTTAATTGTATATGTATTTAGTGATTAGTGTTCATTTTCTGTAAACATTGTCTTAATGCTATCCATCAATTTTTCTAAATTTGTCTCTTTACTTTTTCTCCAGATTGTTTTAGATGGGTTTTTCCCAAAGCCTGGAGCTGAATACTCCTCCACGAGTTCATCCAACCCTGACAAAACCTTTATATTTGTCAACAACCGGCCAGTCCAGCTGAAGGAAATAATGAAGGTGAGGTAGTTTTTGATAAATTGACACCACAGATTTTTCAGACAGTGGTGATTTTCTATTTTCCGTCTAACGTTTTGCCGTGATTGTGTTTTCCTGGTGGGGTGGTGGGGTGGACCTGCAGCTGCTCCGTCAGCACTACTCTGCCCAGTACAGGGACGACGCGGTCCGGCAGCGATACCCCACCCTCACGCTTAAGATCACCGTCTCCCCCTCCTCAGTGGACGTCAATCTTACACCGGACAAGACCCAGGTTCTTCTCCATCACAAGGTAGCCAAGAAATTCAAGTTTAAAGAGAGAATACAGCATGATTAAGTACGCCTTTACTCAATTCCAAGGTTTTACTAATCAGGTCACAGTGATGAAACATCATGTGGTTCTTACCATGTCTGAAAATGAGGTGAATATAGCCTTAGATGGAAAAAAAACAGCTGATTATAGAATTCAATCCTACGTATTGAACAAAAATGAACCTGTAATGTAGAAGCAGTGTGTGGACGTCTAAATAAAACCATTTAACTCAGCTTGAACATCCAGCTTAGCAGCTTTAACTTAAAGTAGTGAAGGTAGCCTCTTTACATAATTTCTGGAGGTCAATAAAGTAAACTTTTTCTCAAATAGTAGGACCATGGACAGCTGGTGGTCAGACAAAGTGGTGCCGTGACTCTGGGTTAACTGTCCCAGGTTATTTAAACTCAGCTGCTAAAACCACAGATCATTCACAATGCAACATTTCTATCACATAGCAGCTCATCTTGAATTCTGAAAGTTCTCAGAAAGTTTGGATCTGGACATGTTTGCCTCTTCTTCTTCAGTCCGTAAATTAGACTGGATTGGATCATTTGCTAAACCATTGATAGAGAAAGGTCTGGACTCCAGTACTATGATTCTAATCTAGTGACATTTCTTTTTAGCTGTGATTTATTTGCTATGTAATGTATGTAAAATGGTGTTACAAACCTTTAAATGAAGAAAAAATCTGTTTTTATCTCCCATGAGGTTCCTATTCCAGATGCTAATGCAAAGCCCGTGCCTGTTAGCTGCTGTTACACAAGCTGCTGTTGGGAAGTTTTGAAAAGAGAACTTTCCTTCCAGAAAGCCAAACAACACAGTCTCCTCGTCTGTCTCTGGTTACCCGGTTTTCTTGTGCACCGATGACCCTCGGTGTATCCTGGGCATCTCATTCACGGCTGCTAAATTAACCTTTATGCATTGCTGTTTTGCCAGAAATGAGGGACATGAGACAAGGTGCAATTTAACCCTAACCTGGATCTCACGGGCATTCGTATTGATTTATTTCCACAAAAAGTTTTTTTCTCTTTGGATGATCTGAACTCGCTGGGGCATTCTCAAGTGACTTAGAATGCTCTCTACTTCTAATTATTCTTTCTCACTAATCACATAATCAGAAAGATGAAAGGCAGGCTCAGGTTTCTCTCCATCTTGCCTTATTTCTTGTTAAAATGATGACATGCTGTCATCCATCTGAGCTTATTTACCTCATTTTAAGATCTGTTTAGGACAAAGGGATTTTTTTAATTCCACCATCTCTGTGTTTTTTTAACCATTTCTCACCTGTCTCATATTTAGGAAGCTGTTTTGGCTGCATTGGAAGAATTGCTCGTTTCCCTTTACGGCCCTCAACCTGCCGCTGACCTACCGGCTGTGAAGCCGCCCGGCCATGACACTTTTCTCCCCCCGTGCAGTCCTATGCAAACCGATGCTTCCAAAGAAGAAAAGGACCGGAGCACGGACGGGGAAGCCCATCCGACCGGTCAACGTGACGCCAGCGGCCAGAAAGATGTGCAAAACGACAAAGCTTTGTCACCCTCACTGGAGCGGCAGCCCTCGAACTGCAGCTCCTCGTCCTCTATCGCAGATGACTGGATCGTGAACCAGATCCCAGCGGAGTTCAACTCCAGTTTGCCGCTTTTCGACGATGAAACGGCCCCGAGTTGCTCTCAGGCCGACGAAATGGACCCGACCAACGAATCTCCAGAGAGCCCCGCGCACGCAGACGCAAGCAAACAGCACATCCCCGCCGAGGACTGGAGTCGAGGGACGGCGCTGACCGACCCGGCCACCGGCGAGCCTCTGGAGCCCGTCCGGATCCACCTGCCCTCCAGGGGCAGCCCCCCTGACCCGGCCAGAAAGCCGCTCAACGCCATCGTGGAGAAGCGGGCGGCCCTGACCGCCTACCACATGATCAGCAGCCGCGCCGTCAGGGCGCCGCTGTCCCCCGCCGCCCTGTTCGAGAAGGAGGCCAGGGCCCAGGTCCTCCGGGAGAAGCCGGCAGCCAGCCTGCAGGAGATCAGCCTCGCCGTCCACCAGAGGTGGAAAAATCTGGGGGAGGACGGCCGTAAGAAGTGAGTTTCCAGACCTTTACCTTTTTCTGAGTACCGGACTTGTTTCCATCTCTTATTTGGAAGGGGGGGGGGGGGTCTGACCTGTCATGTGCATGTGAAGAGCCAGCTGTGGTGACAGATGTGATTTAGGGTCAGACAGACGCATAAATCTTTTGAGATTGTGTTTCTCTTCCACATTTGAAAAGTCAACCTGCGTTGTATTATTGTAATTATTATTAATGATTTACTCAATGAGTTAGTGAGCTGCTGTGTTATTTAAACGTAATTTAAATTCCCTGCGTCTGGGTTTGCGCTCGTCTCTGATGAGACGCCGAACAGAGAATAGGAACCGGGATCGGACTCCGGCTGGCCTTAGAAACGGACGATGAGGTAAGATGCGTAGGGGCTTCTAGAAACTACCAAGACCGGCGCACATATGTTTTTTTTAAGGCTCGTTGTCATTAGTGCCGTCATTACCATCTAAAATTGCCAGATGTACATATACATGCCAGTAAAGGAAGCGGACCTGCGCTACCCTACTGATCTCTATCGCCGTAGCAACTCGGGAATAACACCATTATGTTGTGCTGAAAGCATTTCAACCTAATTATGTTAGATTACTGCATACCAATTTAAAGTAATTGCAAGGTTGGAAAGTCTGTATCAGCAGTATTCGCGGCCTTATATAAGGTATGGATGAGTGTATGGAAAAAGACATCTGTTTAGAATTCTGCCTTGATCTGTCTTAAACATAAAGCAGGAGGTGGCAGGCACCCGGCTCTTTTCGCTGCCACTGTTTCGTGGCACGCCACCTCGAGGAACTACGCTCACACACATTCATGGAGAGGGCTACTTGAATAACGGGGTGCTGAAGTGAAAGTCCTAACGCTTAACATGTGAAGATATATGAAAGTCTGACTTGACAAGTGCCCGGTTCCCCACATGTCAAAAACTTTGCATGTTCTCGGCTTACAGAAAATCAAGTTAAAAAAGTTTTGCTCAAATGCAACAAAGCCTCCAATGACTTGTCTATCAGGCTCAAGGACAAAAAAAATGACTAGATCTGACTAATCTGGTATATAATTTATTCAAATTGGATGAATTATGATTGCAATACAGTGAATTGGATTATAGCGACTTGAATTTGGATGTATCTTTAGTGCCTTTCTGATTTGGTGGCATATAAAAAAAATTGGATTAAATGGATTGAAATTGATTTCAATGTGTTCCCAAACTTCATTATAATCAGAAAGAACTATGAATAATCTCTTGTGAGCGGTGCATTGATCTGAAAAGTGCAGTGTCTAATAGTTAACTTGCTATTATAGTTATCTAATATAAAAGCTATCTAATAGTTAATAGCTAACCCTTTTAATTTCATGGTATAATAATTTGGGAATGAGAGCCTTTTTGGCCGTCTTGTGGTGGAATCTGTGCTCTTTGCAGCTGAATTTGAGAATTCAGCTAACTAACAGCACATGGTCGTTGTTATTGGGTTTATTCTCATGATGTTCCGCACGTTTTTAAATTGTCTTATTAAATAACGGTGTTCAGTTCCTACATGTGTTTCCTATTCCGACCTCCTCAGGTACGAAGACAAAGCCAAAAGGCAGGCGGAGCAGCACCACCAGAAGGCCCGGTGGGCCGAGGCTCCCCGGGAGCCCGCTTTGAGCCCCCCAGGGGGCCAGGCGCAGGGTCAGAAACGCAAGGCCCCTCCGTCCAACCAGCGGCTCCTCGACGAGCTCTTCGGCGAGCGGCCCCAGAAGAAGACCAGGACCCCGGACCCCAAGCCCTCGCGGCCCCTCCCCTGCAGCGTGGCCGCCCTCCGCCTCCAGCTCCAGCGCCTCTCCTCCCAGAGCCGCGCGGCGCCGCGGGGCCTCCGCCTTGTAAACCGGCTGGCCTCTCAGAGCGCCTGGGTCATTTTACGCGGTCAGAGGCTCATGTTGTTAAACCCATTCCGAGTGGAGGAGACCTTGCTGTTTAAGAGACTTCTAGAGAATAATATACTTCCAGCCGTGAGTCTGCAGAACCCCGTGCAGCTCACAGATGGGTAAAGTATTACACCATTCCCAACCCTCCCAGTTTTGCGTTTACCGCATTTGATTTCCGAAACTTAAAAAATAAAATACTGATATATTGATATATGTGATTAAGTATTGCTATAGTCTGATAGAGTATCTTTTTCGGTCTTTTCTAGAAGTTTAGGAGGAGCTCAATATACTGAGGCTTTGTGCAACATGGAGCTACAGAAACCTGAGCTGAGTGGAGAGGCCTTCTTTTCTGATCCCAGGCTTTTGGCTAATGGCTTTAAAATCAAACTCACTCCAGGTACGACAACATTCCTAAAATATTAGACCACATTATTACTGTATGAGTAGTGAGACGATCAGAAAACAACTTCCTTCCTTTTTTCTTTGCTGAATCTGCTTGGTGCTGTTTGAAGGCCTCATCGTTTGTTTACTTTGATTCTATGCACATTCTAGATATTTGCCAATGTTATTGTCATAGATCAGGAGTCTTAAATGCCAAACACAGAGACCCCAACAACTGGATTACAGGCAAAACAGAGTCTCTCTATTTTGGATCACAGTAGTTATCAATGGGATGAGAATTTGCTTTCCTTTTCGAAATGGATCCACATGAAAGACCGAAGATCTTTAATTTGGACGGTATGTCTTTGTTACCATAACTAGGTGCTTTATGGCAATTTCAAACAAACAAACAATCAATCGAAATGCAGTTTTATTTAAAGTATAAACATTTCCTAATCACAGATTCTTCCTTGAAGTCACAGTTTAAAGTATATTAGTCTTGTTTCATCATATGTGTACTGTCAATCAAGAAATAGACTAATGTATGTATCATATGCACGCAGAAGAAGCCATTCTTCCAGTTTTCTAAGTATTATTCTTTTTTTGTGTGGGTGTACGCAGCCCCGTTAATGTTGCTCGTTGTTGTTGCTAGAACGGTTCGCCTCAGTTGACATTGGCTTTCTGCCCAACAGCGTGGTCTCACAGTAGGTCTGCGCCCCAGTGTGCAGGTGTTGAGAATAGTTGCCCTTTAAGAAATTCTCGGAATTTTCATCTGGCACTGCCAGCCTCTGTGGGTGTGCGTGAGACCGAGGGTAGCGGTGCGTGTAGGATGTTTTTATTGCACAATACCGGCTGAATAATATCTGCTTCTTGTCGGGGGCTGTTTTTGCAAAATGGGACTCGTAGAGTTCTGCAGATGTTGTCTTTTTCGAATTGAATGAAGAAAAAAAACAACTATTTACGCGGATGCGTGGATGTTTATGTCGTCAAACGTTCAGCGTTAGAAATATAAAGTGTGCATGATTTGCAGTATTTCCTCCTTAAATGAGAAGCAGCCATTCTTCCACCCTACTTGACAACTTCCTTCCAGTCTGCTGGGGCTTCTATTAGTCATTTAACACTCCATTTGGCCCTTGGCTTGTTTGACTTGGTCATCAGCTCAGCCGTAAACCACAATATTTATTTATTATTCTTTCCTGGAGAAAGTAGTAGTGTCTGGAGTGTATTAATCCTTGTTTTCTGCTTGTTTTGGCAAGGCACCATGTCAGCGGAGAGACATCTGGAAGTGACGGCAATGGCAGACTGCGTGCCTTTTCTTGGTGTAGAAGACCTGAGGGAGATCCTGACAGGCGTTCTTCACCGGAAGGCCTTGACTGTGAAAGAGAGCCGGCCACTTAAAGTCACAAACTACCTCCAAGTGAGACACGCTCCGAATGAGATTTAGCCCCGGTATCGCTGGCTTTTCGTTCATTTCGTTCATCGTGTGGCTCATTTCCTGCAGGGTGAGGCGGTTCGACTGGCCCGTCAGCTGCCCACCAATCTATCCCGGGAGGATGTGGAAGAAACCCTCAGACGGATGGAAAGGCAGCTGGGTCACAGTAGCCGCTCCTGTATCCATGGACGGCCATTTCTCCAGCATTTAATTGACATTCCCTCTTCAGACAAGGAAGCAGAAGCCCTGTTCAGACCTCTAGAGTTGTGACATAAAAGAAAACCTGCACAATATCTATGAAATTCTCTTAGATGTTTGTCATTCCACTTCAGATACTTGGTTTGTTGCTGTTCCTCATCAATTCTGTTTGTAACTACAACACTTAACTGATTGTTAATGTCTTTGTAAAAACATTATTTTGTGAATAACAGCACATGAATAAACATTTTGCCACAGAACACATGAAACTTGACTTTACCCTTACTTTGTGATAACTAAAATACTATGAATAATTGGTGAGAAAGAGCTCAATGAGCTACTGAGCTCAAAAAGTATTGATGAGGAAATTGAACCAATATTTATTTGTTTTTTTTGCTGCATAACTTTATTTATATACATTATATATTCTATATATTTACAGATCCACCTCACAGTGGCTTCTAATCATCAACCTGCAGCTTCACATCATTCTGCGCTCAGAAGTGAGAAACTCTTTTTGTTTATCAGTAAAGTTAATGTATTTTAGGATCAACAGCGGCTTATAAAGCTAGCTCTACCAGTACTCTGGTGAATGATTTATATCCTAACCACTCCTTGATCTTTGAAAATTTCTTTGAAATTCTGATTTCTGATTTTGTTTTTAAATGCAACTTCAGTAACATGATTTGGAAAATAATAATAACCTCGAAAATGCAGGTGAAATGATGCCCGTATAGGCAGGGCAAGTTTATTTGTATAGCACATTTTGTGTAAAAGACTATTCAAAGTGCTTTACAAAGAATTTAAAATCACAAAAATCAAAGAAAAAAAATTAATCAACAAAATTAATTAGATTAAAAGTGAAGGCTGCAGAGAAAATATATTAAGTTTCCACATGCATAGTTTAAAAGAACTGTTTTAAGGCTGGATTTAAACATTGTCAGAGTTGCAACACATGCATTTTACCTGCTAAAAGCTGAAGGAAATACGTTTTTTGAGTGGCCTTTTATCTCCAAGTGGCCGTTAGGTAAGTGTATCTTATGGATGAAACGATGAATTGCAAGACCTGTAAGATAAAAACCAACTTCCCGTTGAGAAATTGGACATTTTTCAAGCTTTTGTTTTAGGCATAGAAAACAATGCGTCTCTTTGTACAACATTTTTCAACCAGTTTGATAATAATGAATAATTCTGTTCGACAAAGTGCGGAGTTTTAACAGGTTTGAACTTGCGTCTGTGGGAAATGGATCAAAATGGACCTGCAGAGTTGGTAAACCTTCTGTCTCGTTGGAGGTGCTGGTTGGGAGCGCATATCCTGTGTCCCGGGTCGGTAGAGTGATTTCTTGAATGTGTAAGATTTTCTTGGATTAACAACAGCAGTCTTCAAACCTCAGGGTGACATCTGAATCCCTCACTTGATTTCTCTCCAGAGAAACCCAGAGTAGCGTCCCCTCCCCGAGCCTCATTGTGGCACCATCGGAATGGGTGTTGGCAGGCCCCAGAACTAGAGATGCCCCCCGTGCCAGCCGGGGGCCGTAATTCTTTTACCTCAATTAGCGTCAGCCGCCCGGCCTCGAGTATCGACAGATAGCTGGACGTTATCCCGGGCCTGCGCTGACCGCCTCACAGGTTTGCGCTGTAATTTCAACCCCAAAGTCCAGAAAATATGTGACAGTGTGCTAATTTGTGGCTTCGCCGTTTTCTGTTTGAGGTTTCCTTTGAGGAAACAAAGCAATCGACACAAGGACAACTTCTAAAAGTTGCCTTTTCGTGTTCATTTATTTATTTGTTTTGCTTTTAAGTGTTCTGGACCGGATATAGTGGCAGGTTGTCTCTCGACGTGGCGCTAACGGCAGCACAAAAGTGCTGAGGAGGCTTTGGCCACGTTTCCATGACGGAAATACATACGACCGCGCTTTACTGATGGCCGTTACATATGGATGCTTAGTTGCACCATAGGGAGAAGCGCAACCTGATCGCTCACCTTATGATAATATTATAGTTAGTACCGGGAAAGGTCAGACCGCAGCACATGTCTTGTTTTACGCGGCCTCTGCTGAGGGAGCCCACAGATGGCTTCGGCATTGCTGCCGGACCGAGACTCTGCAAAGTGCCTCAGGGAGAGGCAGGCATGCCAGCGAGAACCCATGTCCCCCCCGTGACCCCTCTCACTCCGTTCTCTGCCCCCTCTCTTCCACACGCCTCCTAAAAACCTCTCCCCCGCTGGACGCAGGGCTCCTCGGAACGGCGTTTCGGCGGCCGAACGGGCGCCGGACACGCCACCTCCAGAGGCCCATCTCAGAGTAAATGTGGAGGATTAAGTGATGGTCATCTTTTGACCATCTGAACAAACTGTTTAAAAGGTCATTTTTACAGCTCTATTTTAAACCACGTGTTGCTCTCTATTTGACTCATTCGCTTTTGTCATTTTGGGCTATTTCTTAGCGATTTATCCGATGTGAGGAATGTAAAGAAGGGAGAGAGAGAAAGAGAGTTTTGGAATGCTTGCAGAATGTGTCACTGATTCGTGTCACGTACAGCGTCATCAGGACGGTTTTGGGATCTCCTGTTACTCCCTTAATGTGCAGACCTACTTCTGCTCAGGTTGTATTCAGCAGCCTGGGCAACTATACGCCACTCTCATAACCCCGGGAGTAACCGTAGCCTTTAATAGAGTCATCAAAATGGAAATAAAATGACATTAACTATATTTAACACCTCTCCCGCTCTATTTTTGGAACTGTTTTGAAAGGGTTTTTGGAAGGAGCACGGAGCACAAGGACCACCTGTCTCTGTTTAGAAATATAAACCGGATAGATAGAAAAGCATGCCTATATTCTACTAGAAATGTATTAACACACACAATATCTGAGTCAGTTTAGAAAAACAATTTCAGTACATGGATGAGAGTTAATCAAAATGACTGTCTGATCATATTTCCTCATAACATGACTGTACTATTTAGCCTGTATGAATAATAGTCACCTATAATTCACCCCGTGTCATTTTATTGGGTTTTGTTTTGTTTTCTGGGGGTTTTGGTTTTGGTTTTGGTTTTGTGGAATATTTTTGGGCTGTTTTCAGGTTGAGTTTCTAGGCTTTCTTTTGTTTTCCAGTGCTTTTATTCCGTTTCCTTGTTCTTAGTTTAGAGTTCCCCTCTGAGCGGTTTCGTGTGTTTTGGTCGTGTTGCTCTGATTAAATTCTCGTGTCTCCTGGTTGCATTTGGAGTTTTTCTTGTGCTCCGTGTGCCTTATTTCCAATTGGCTCTCTGGGTTACTGTTACTCTGACTTACTTTTACTGGATTACTGCGGCTCGTGTCTTTTGTCTCTGCTACCAACACAGGAGACGACCTTAAGAAGGCACGGAAATTAGGGTTCAACTGCACTTTTGAAGATTAGACAGAAGTTTGACTTGCTGGAGGGAAAATGCAAGAAATACGGAACAGATCAAGACTTTTTTTCCCCCAACAATATATACTTTTCTACTCCCAAGCTGCAACGCATAGTTTGAATTTGGAAAAAAATGGGACTAAAAAAAACAAGATTAAGTAGGATGACCCCACTAATGGTCTATGCATTCAATCAAAGGACAGATAAGATTTGTCTTATATATATATATATATATATATATATATATATATATATATACTGTATATATAGGAATCCAAACTGTCCCCAAACACTCAGAGCAAGTTAGTTAGAGCCTTCAACCATCCCATATGGGAGCAACTCTAACATTTAGCTGCATCTACTTGTTGCTTTTGGGCTGGTAATTGGTGTCGGTGCCTTGCTGGGACTGTGCGCTTCTCTGCTAACCACTACACGGCCACTTAGTTCTTTTTACGGGCTTTGAGGCACACATTAATGTGATGGGTGTTAAAAAAGCTGCAGGTTATCAAGTGCTGGAGAATTTACAGTCACACCACATTCAATTTCATGGGTCAGGGGCCGTCCAGTCTGCTGTTTCTGATTTTATATCAGAGTTATGACCCGACATGTGTTTTTCAGGTAAATATGAGGGTGCTTTTTAAATAAAATAGAAAAATGAATGAATCCATATTGTTCAGGTTGCTTTAAATATATCTGAAAGTTTGATTTCCTTCCATCTCAGTGTATGTCGAGCCTCCATTCAAATGCTCTCTTGGATTTATCTACTCAAGCTTATTTCTGGAAAATACTGCTTGCCGCTTAAATGTCACTCAACTGAGCGTCTTGTAAAATTAATTGTGGGTAGTAATCTGTAAAAATGTACCATAAATGTTATTTCTGACATGTCAAAACCCGTCCAGCTTTCTTTGACACATACCTGATACTGATCTGCATCCGTCTGTGTGGAGAAGCTCAGGCTTCTCATTGGGGGACAGGAGGTTTCCATAATTTGCTCTCCCTAAGTCTCCTCAGAGGAAGATCTATTCTTCATCTCTGTCAACTCTCCGTCCCTGGAGGAGCGGAGGCCTAGCTGCTTTGGAACTTACGGCTGCATTTTTTGCCCGTCACCTAATCACTCCTCACAAACAAACACTGACACAGAAGAATTCTGTAAACAGATCTGGAGTGAACACCAAATTTGCCCTCTCTCCAAACTTCCAGTAGCCGTACAGAGTCGTTAATCATGCGATGGCTTCCCAGAGGTGGCTGTCAGTTTTAGGGTAGGAATAGTGATTCCTCATCCGTAAGTGAAAAAACAAGCGGAGCGCAGACGGAAAGGATAAATCACCTGGGAAGTGAAGACAGCTTGCATTCAGCAGCTGGCCATCTGGCCCTTATCATGTCCCAGACTGGTTGATTTTATTGCTTTTCATTGCTCTCCGAAAGCCCAAGAGGGACATTGCAAACAGTCTGTCAATCTAACTCCTGATAATCATCTTCCGCTAGTTGTTTAAGTGATTACGATGTGGATTTTCAACCAAATTCCCTTATTTAGATAAAGTGGTTTTGCAGGGGAAAGTTAGAATTGAGATGAATGTTAGACATGCTACGATTTAACCTGATTAGAAATAAGAAATGCACTTTTCTTTCTAAAAATGTCAGTGTTTCCTATTGCTTTATCTCACAATATTATCATTTGCTACCTTATATAATGTACCGGTAATAATATCCAATATATTGTCTATCTAATATATTATTAGATAGCTAAGATGACAAAAAGTCAAATTATAGTGTTTTTTTCAGACCAGTGACGTCTCACGTGAGCTAAAAGCAAAGTTGTACATCATTTGTTATAATTTTT